GAGTTTCTGCCTACTTCATGTATGTTTGCACTTTGCGCAGGTTTGCGCTATCGTCGATGGATATGGAGCAGAGAGATTACGACTCTCGGACGGCCCTTCATGTAGCTGCTGCTGAAGGTGGAGTGCCAGGAACTCATCAAACTCTGCAACTGTTGATATTATCATGTGCTTCAACCCCCAGACTTCTGACTAGTTGTTTGTTTCCTCTGCCTGACCTAATTTTCTCTATGTGCAGAGTGGAAATCTTGCTAATGTGCCCTTTTGTGGGTTTCAGGTCACACTGAGGTTGTGCGTTTTCTCCTAGAGGCTTGTAAGGTGAACCCAGTGCCCAGAGACAGGTATGCATGTGAAATACTACAACACTGAGCCTATTTTGTAACAACACTGTTAAAAATGCCTATATGAAAGGTAGGTCACAAAATATAGCAAGACTGTTGCAAAACTGCAATATTATAGTATGTTCTCAAAGTTGTATTCAAGAAATTGTCTCGGAGACCATCTTGATTTGTTTATTGTCAGCCATTTTGAATATATTTTCATACATATTTTCATATAGTCGAATGCATTTATGTGTCTATTCACTGTGCTTAACTATCCGTTAATTTATCAAATAGATAAGTCACTATCAAAATAGAACAAATCTCAAATAGAACACCTTCTCCAGTTAAGAAAAACATATTAATAGTTGTGGATAGTATAATATTGTGAATGTAACACTATCACAGTGGTTACAGTTAATCATTTTTTATTAAATAAATTTTTTTACATTAATGCTGAAGTTTTATTAGTTTTATCAATTTAATTTATAATTCGAATACATTTTTTTACATTTATATAAAGTAAATATTTAAAAAATACTTCTATTCTAAAATTGCTATAAAATTAAAGCCATATGTATAAATAAGTTATGTTCCAAATTTGAAGTTGATATAAAAAAAATTAGAGGTTCCTATGAGATTTTGTTTAGGCGTTATACCAAAAATAGCCACCGGGTAACTCCCAAACTCCAGCAGAGTGGAAATCTTGCTAATGTGCCCTTTTGTGGGTTTCAGGTCACACTGAGGTTGTGCGTTTTCTCCTAGAGGCTTGTAAGGTGAACCCAGTGCCCAGAGACAGGTATGCATGTGAAATACTACAACACTGAGCCTATTTTGTAACAACACTGTTAAAAATGCCTATATGAAAGGTAGGTCACAAAATATAGCAAGACTGTTGCAAAACTGCAATATTATAGTATGTTCTCAAAGTTGTATTCAAGAAATTGTCTCGGAGACCATCTTGATTTGTTTATTGTCAGCCATTTTGAATATATTTTCATACATATTTTCATATAGTCGAATGCATTTATGTGTCTATTCACTGTGCTTAACTATCCGTTAATTTATCAAATAGATAAGTCACTATCAAAATAGAACAAATCTCAAATAGAACACCTTCTCCAGTTAAGAAAAACATATTAATAGTTGTGGATAGTATAATATTGTGAATGTAACACTATCACAGTGGTTACAGTTAATCATTTTTTATTAAATAAATTTTTTTACATTAATGCTGAAGTTTTATTAGTTTTATCAATTTAATTTATAATTCGAATACATTTTTTTACATTTATATAAAGTAAATATTTAAAAAATACTTCTATTCTAAAATTGCTATAAAATTAAAGCCATATGTATAAATAAGTTATGTTCCAAATTTGAAGTTGATATAAAAAAAATTAGAGGTTCCTATGAGATTTTGTTTAGGCGTTATACCAAAAATAGCCCCCAACTCCCAAACTCCATAGAATGCTTTTTTAAATGTAATTTTCTGTCACAAATGTATACATTCCTCTCTCAATTTTACTTCTATCACAAAAGAAAACCAAATATGGAATTTTGAGACTCAGTGCTTTCCAACGATATGTATTTTGTCAAGATTATAAAAAGTTTAGATTGTAAAATACCGTAATATATTTTGTAATATGACACTTGACACCACCCACTAAGGGGGAGGAGACGGCTAAAAGATTTAAAAGTACCTTTTCCATGGTAACGCAATGTCTGATTTCAAAATGGTTTTCGCAGGATTCATTTTGAGCTTTTCAACTAATTTTAAGCTTTCAAATTATATATAATTTATGATGATTACTAAAATATATGAGAGGGAAAAAAGACAACGAAAAAAAGAGCACCAGCCTTTATTAATCTATTATGGAAGTTCTGGTACAAGTGCACTGGAGGGTTTAAAAGCAGAAGCTTGTATTTTAAGCTTCATAAATTGAGTAAAAAGTTTTTTTTTTTAGTTGATCTATGAAGTTTAATGTTAGGAATCATATATTCTTGATGTTTGTGATGTATGTCCACCCCCATCGACTTCCATTTGAGTTTGTTTTTTATTTTTCACACAAAGAAATGACTAATAAACAGTAATAAACAGCACACAACATGTTGTTCCTTTAAACCAGGGCTGCCCAAACTTGGTCCTGGAGGGCCGGTGTCCTGCAGAGTTTAGCTCCAACTTGCCTCAACACAACTGCCTTTAAGTTTCTAGTATGCCTAGTAAGAGCTTGATTAGCTGGTTCAGGTGTGTTTAATTGGGGTTGGAGCTAAAATCTTAAGGACACCGGACCTCCAGGACCGAGTTTGGGCAGCCCTGCTTTAAACTTACCGTTTGATCCCTGTACAGGTGGGGTAACACTCCCATGGACGAGGCCATTCATTTTGGCCATCACGACGTCGTAACGATCCTGCAGGACTATCACAACGCTTACAGCCCTAAGGAGACCACTGCCGACAGCGACAAGGAGACGGCCGAGAAGAATCTGGACGGGATGCTGTAGAGATGATCTGTTGCTTTAAAACACTCCAGTTTTTTCCCAGTGAGTCTGTGTGTCTGAGGTACGCATTTGAGAAGAAAACATGCAAAACACAAAAAAAGCCTTTGGGCCCCTTTACCCTGTGTTGTGGTGTTTGTGTGTGTGTGTGATGTGTAACTGCCCTTAACATGGTCATTTTGTTTTATCTTACCCTCGGGGGAATGTAGCCTCATAAAGGTCTTATTTAGCCGTATCTTTACATAAATATACTATATAAATTGAATATACTCAATACATGTATATAGTTAATGTATATTCATTTATGGTTTGAGAACCTTCATAGATGTATAATGATGTCAGATATTTAAGAAAAGATATCTAGGAGAAGGCAGCTTGACTGGAGAGCGTAGCATTGGAAGGCATGTGTCATTCTGATATTTTTTTAACCTTTTTCTTTATCCTCTACTTTAGTCTTCATTTAGTTATCAACATGTAGTTATTTATGTGTATCATCTTGTGAATATGTTTCAAATGACACTTCTTTGATTGTCAAAAAAAATTGCATTTCTATTTAATTTTTTTGTTTGCTTTGTTTTTCAATATCTTTCTTAATCAAATTAAAGTAACACTTTACATGAAGTTTTTCAAAATACGTTTTACAAATACAGTTAACATTAGTTAATTTAGGTATCATACTAATAAACATAATTTATTAATCTAAGCAATTAAAAAAAATATTCTTGTTCATTTGTTAATTCATATTGGTTCAAGATATTTTGTACTATTAATTTAAAATCAAATTAAAATGTAGAATCTGTAGAGAATTAATATCTGTAAAAATGAACAAATAACCAAGATTAATAAATGTTGTAAAAGTATTATTGTTCATTCATGACACACATCTACCTAATGTTAACTAACTGAAACCTATTGGGAAGTGTTACTGAAATTACTTTTAAGCACTAGAAGGACCTTTTTCGATTTTACTGTATTTGATATCTATGTGCTTAATGTCAACGAATGAAACTTATTGTAAAGTCTTACCAAAATTACTTCAAAGCACTAGAAGGTCCATTTTCCACCTGCCCATTCATTATACTACAAGAATTTCCTGTATTTGATACCTATATGCTTTACAATAAGTTTCGTTTATGGTAACGAATTGAAACTTATTGTAAAGTGTGTCCAAAATTACTTTAAAGCACTAGAAGGACAATTTTTATACCTGCCTGTTCAGTGTACTACAGGAATTTCCTGTATTTGATAGCCATCTAACTAATGTTAACAAATTGAAACTTATTGTAGTGTTACTTTACAATTATTTTAAAGCACCAAGAGCACCCATTCATTGTGCTACAGGAATTCCTTGTATTTGATACCTGTATGCTTAACTAATATTAACTGAAACTTATTGTAAACTGTCACCATAATTACTTTAAAGCACTAGAAGGACCATTTTCATGAACCTGCCGGTTCATTGTACTACAGGAATTGCCTGTATTTTGGTGCCTTTATACTTTACAGTTGTTAACATTAGTGAAGTGTCACCAAAATTACTTTAAAGCACTAGAAGGACCATTTTTGTTCCTGGACTTTCATTGTACTACAGGAATTCCCTGTATTTGATACTTATCTGCTTAATGTTAACAAATTGAAACTTATTGTAACGTGCTACAAAAATTACTTCAAAGCACTAGACTGACCATTTTCATACCTGAACTTTCATTGTACTACAGGAATTCTCTGAATTATCTGCTTAATGTTAACAAATTGAAACTTACTGTAAATTGTTACCGAGATTACTTCAAAGCACTTGAAAGACCATTTTTCACCCGCTCGTTCATTTTTACAAAAATGTATGGTATTTTAAACCGATGTAACTTACACTAAGTTTGAATTTATTAACATTAGTTAAGTGTCACTGAAATTAATTTAAAGCACCAAAATGACAATTTTCATATCTGGCTGTTCATTGTACTACAGGAAGTTCCTGTATTTTTGAACAGGAACATTTTTCAATACTTAAGCATACTGGAAATCTTACAGCAATTGCCTCATGAATAATTATGTGGAAAACCTACACAAGAAACATCCAAACTGGGTTGCAGTGTCACCTTTGCTTCTTCTGCAAGACATTTTAAATCCAGGATGTGGATTTGTTGTGTGATTTAGTTTAGCGATCATATGGAAAAAGAACCAAGCAAAAATGTCACATTTTCTTTTATTCTCAGTACATGGTGAAATGACAAGTAAGATTGAAAGTCGAAAATAAACAAAAATGCACTGGCATTAACGCTGATTGCTATGGACAAAATGCAGTCTAAACAATCCCGTCAGTTGTGTAGCTTGGTGAAGTCCCTTCAGAAGCAGTTGGTTTCTATAAGCACATGTTGTATGCGGAAAAGCACATTGATTGTTCTAATATACAGTACGGATGACAAAGAGGCACGCATATACTTGAAAAACCTCCAAAGCTAAGTCAATCTCAACTATGTGAATTTTTTCTAGTGGGACACTGTTGTTAAAGTATTGTAAATGTGTTTTGTAATGTGTGCGTGTGTGGATGTACATGCTTAACTGTGGACAATTTGTTATTTATTACAAAAAAATTGAAGCAACACAACCAAAAAACAGTACAAACAAAAGTAGATCACAAATTGTATCCAACTTCATTCGTGTTGCACTTTAGCCAATTTTATTTGCATTGTGCAATTTCTTGTTTTTGCGGAGAAAGCTGTTACGATTTTTTTCCTGCATTTTTTTTTTCATTACTGCTATGAATGTATTTCATTGTTGTTGTGAAATTTCCTTTAATTTGCTTTTATTATTTAACTATGCCATTCTGTAGATGTTCTAGATTTTAATTGTTCGAATTTAATTTCCATACTAATTAATATATTCCACACAAATGCTAGATAAAAACAATAAAGACTTTGAACATGCATAGCTTTTGATATTCATTATTCTTATCTTGTAGCGAACTGTACGTACATGCATCGGACAGACATTAATATGTAAATTTTTGTAATGTTTATCTGTTTTTTTTCCACACGTTCATACAGTATTTTTCTTTCACCAATGTATGCAGCCTTTTCATATTGCTAATCTGTGCTGAAAGTTTTTAAGGTGCAAATTTTGAAGGCATTCCAAATGAGGTGGATTCCCACTTTAATAACTTTCTATCATGTCCAAAACAAATTAGACAAAAACAAATATTGCTCTGTAAATAAGCATAGCGGCACATAAAGTGAACATAATACTAATAGAGCACCAGCAGGTTATGAAGAATCTTAAGAAAACTGAATTTTTTTTTCTTCACATATTTAGAAACAGTGTTTGGAAAGTAAACATCTAACAGCTTAAAAGGTTTAATCAGACCTGAACTCCTGTATTTCATGGTTCTTTCTGGATGAATCTTTGGGGTGTTTGACCCCAAAACCAAACAAAGGAAACGTAAACTTAGGATCTTAAAAAGCCTATTTTAGGACCATTTCTGTTTTATTTTTTGCATTGTCTTTTTTTTTTTATGACAGTTCAGCACATTTCCTCTCCCATTTACAATAATGTGTAAATGTTCATTCCCATTATTCTCATAATGTATTTTATGACTAATACAGTTATTTTTTTATTACAGTCGAATTCCTGTACTACAATAATTAAAGTTGGTACGACATACACTGCTGTTATGTAAATGTTTTCAAATTAAAATAGTTTTATTCACATTAATTTAAATTAAATATTTGTTTGCATTACTGTAAAGAAAATGTGGATTAAACTAAATAGTCCTAAAAATAGGTTTCATTTTCTTTACAGAAAATAAGTTTGTGTGAAATTCATCCATCTAGCTTTTTCATTCACTTTCTTCACCCTTTTCAGTTACTTGGCATCTGAAGTGCTTTCATACACAACTTCACCGTCTAAAAAGGTTTCTAGAATAAGTGCGGCGGTAACAGCGTTACTAAGGGGGTTAATTTGGTTGTCTTTATGCTATAGCTGACAGCGTAGACAGTGTCTTTCTAATAACGCTAGAATGAAAAAGAGGACTACCAAAACCAGTGGCTATACCTCGACTAGATGTTCCCCTTTCATTTGCGTTATTACAAGAAAAAAACACTGAACGAAGGAAACATTTCTACTTTTCTGCATCATCTGTCCTTTCAGGTCACTTAAGAGAGACTTAAGTCTGAGGGCTGTGGGGAAAAAAATATATGAATAATAGTACTCTACCTCAAAATTTAATGTATCGAATCTGTTCTAAAATAAAGAGAAATGGAGAGAATAACTGCTGTTAATAGTATTGCGTCAATTGTTATTGTAAATGTATAATTATAATTTTTCATACCATGCGTTCCAGCTCGCCATAAACCTCAGGTGACATTGGCATGAGTGTGGTGTTAAAGTCTTGCGGCTGCCTAAAATGAAGCATTTAATTAAGCAGTAATTAATTAAGCATAAAATGAAGCAGTTATTTTTTCAATCCTGTTTGGTAACACAGAAATGTCACATTGTGGGAGTCATATCTGACCAAAATATTTGACGTTTTGGTTGTTTAGAATTTTTTTTACTTCACTGAAATGGTATGAAACTTGGTAAAGGTTTTGGCACTTGCTATGTGAATAAAAACATCATGGACATGATTCTAAACGGTTAAATGGTCCTGAAAAAGATCATTGGGAAGTGAATTTCATCTAGTGGAAACATTTGGTACTGCAGCCAAACAAAATCATTTTTTTGTTGCCAGCTCATTTTTTGCGATACTAACCTCAAATTTGGAACACAACTTGTTTAGATTTATGCCGTTGATTTTCATACAGTTTTAGTGTGAAATATGTTTCGGAAAATATACATTTCATATAAAATTTAGAAATAATACTTTTGTGCATTTTTCATAATAAACTTCTATAGCTTTTTTTTTTTGTGTCACTTTTTTAACTTTATTTAACTTTTTTTTTCACTTCAGCAATAATCTTCTCCAAGTGTCTTCTGTGCTCCAAAGCATTCAATATTTATGACAGCTTAAGTTAGAAATTTCCTTTTCAGGTCTATGCTCAAAAAGTGGTTAACGGGTAATAAATGAATCATAACTATTACATAAATATAATTTTTGTACCATAAAATCCCCTAAAAATACAAAATTTTAAATAAAAAATATTATGGTACTAAAACATAGTACATTCACTGAAATAAAAAAATTAAAAATTGACCATTTTTGACCACCGTGAACAAGAGGGTTAATATTGACTTACATTTCAGAGATGGAGATGAGAGTGGTGCTGATGTATCCCTCATGTAACTTCTTGTCTACATCCATTGGTTCTTGCTCTGGATAAACAAATGTTTATGTACATTCTTTTATACATTTATTCATAATTTATATAGTTTGCGACTGTGTTTCTTACTGTCGGTAGGTTTGGAGTAGTATTTTTTGAAGGCGTCATCTTTGGCTATACTGGGAAATAGGAAGCGCAGAGGGTTTTCCGGGACGTTGTCGGCAGCCTTCTTCGTGTAGGGCTCCACGGAGCGAATCTGTGGCTCTTCTAAATAAACACAACACCAAACCCAAGTAATGAGCATTACATTTGCAAAATGGGTTTGATTTCCATCCAAAGTTTAAGCAAAACCATATCTAAATTTGTTGTTTTTAGACGTTTTGATTTCAAGACCAAATTTATTTTTTATTGTTCCACAGTGTGTCAGAGTGAAGGAAAGTCTCACCGTTTGCATTGTGTTCAACCCAGCTGAACGTAATGGCTCCATCGCGATTGCTCTCGCTGAAGCGCAACAGAAACGTCCCGGGAAGTTTGTCATAGAGCAGAGCTTTAGTTCGGTCCTTGGTCACAAACCCCATTATACAGCTGCGAGAGATAGACGGGGTTAAAGCATGTTTCTGCTTGATCAATAGACAAGCAGACCATTTTTGGCCTGTTTTTACACTTTGAAACTTTAGACCCAATCGGAAAAGAGAAGACAAGTTTTTGTTTTAAAAATAAATATAGGAAAAATATTTCCTATGGTAATGAAAACTTACCACAGATTCTGTCAATTGTGGTTTTTATTTGTTTACTTTTATTTTATTGATTGATTGATTGATTTTGTGTTTTTATTTATTTTGTGCCTGACGAAGACCTGATGGTCGAAACGTTGAACCAAGAAATTCCTTGGGAGCAGTCTTATCAGTGTGTGGACAATTTTTTGTTTTGTTTGTATTGATCTTATTTTTTGTCCTACACCTGAGCCTTCGGGGTTTTGGGATGTGCACGCTTTTTTTGTATTTTTGTTTTCATTCATTTATTTAACCCAGAACATTCCTGAGTGGGATATTTTTATTTATATATTTTTATTTTTGTTTTGTTTATGCATAAATCTAACAATTTTGTGACAGACTTAATTTAGTATTATTTATATACTATTTTATTTTTTATTAATATTTTGAATTCACGTTTATTTTTACATTTTCAGTGTTCATTTTAATTTTTAGTAATTTTGTTATATGCTTTTATCAGTTATATTCGTTTTTGTTCTTTTTAAACATAATTACTTGGATTTCATTTATTTTTATTTCAGTTTTAGTTTTTATTTATTTCCAGATAATAATTTTAGTGCTTCAACTTAAACTTATTTCATTTATTTGCCAAGGCAACATTTCTCATTTTCATTTAAACTTTTCCATGTAATGTTGATTTTTATGTTTAATTTTGTGTGCTTTTGTCATTTTTATTAGTTTTTGTTCTTCTTAAATATTTAGGGGCCAAGCACCGAAGGTGCGTAGGCACCTATTGTATCCTTTGGCATTCCTATTAACTAAAACAATCTAGCGCCACCGCTTGTCCAAACTTTCACTCATGTTTATGCTAATAACTTTTGAAGTGTAAGGCACAGAAGGAAAATATTTTTTTCCTCTGAATCCTCTGCGCGTGCCGAGTCGAATGAACTCCAAAATGTAAAGTTTAGTTTTTTCGCTATATTCCATTATTCTCTTTCAAACTCATCCTAGACGGTTCGTCCGATTTTCACCAAAATTGTCTCAGATCATCTTCAGACCATGCTGGCAAAAAGTTATGGAATTCAAGTTGATTCGTCAAACCGTTCTCGAATAACGCGCAAACGAATTTGACGAAAAGCATGCAAAAATGGATGTGAGGCTATATCTCCGTAATGGTTTGGCGTATTGAGACCAAACTTGGTATGTGTTATAACAAGCATGACCTGAGGCTACATGCAGTGTTTCGGCGCAGTGCCACCTAGTGGTCAGGAGATATGAAAAATTGCTATTTTTGTCTATAACTTCTGAATGGTTTTACCAAAAATCACAACACTGGTCTCTTTAGATTCGGTGGGTTATGCCGATTCGAACCATACCCAATTTTCCCATGTCAGCCATTTTGGGCATCGGCCATTTCGAATTTTGTCATAAAATGCTATAATTTACGAACGCATTGACATATCGTTATGAAACTCGGTGTGCATCATTAATTTTACAGCTTTAGCTTAAACTTAATAAACTTACAAAAAAATGTTTTGAATAGTTTTAGTTGACGACAATAACCCTGGCATGTGAAATAGGGTAGCTGTCCAAAATGGTAAGACAGACCAAGATGGTCCAAGTGACCAACCATCTAGACCAGCTAGAACCATGTAAGATGTTGATTCTAGCTGGATTTTCATCATTCAAACATCTGGTTTCTTACCCATCGTCCCACAGACTCAGCAGGTGTCTCTTTATAAGGTCCAGAATTCCTTCAATCCACAGCCAGAAGGTGAAGTTCTTCTCACTGCCAGACTACATCAAACACAAGTCTCAAATCAAATCACTTCTAAACAAACAGTGGGAACGGAACAATGGTGCGCAATAGAAAAATGGATAAACTGATCAGTAAAAAAAATCTCGTATAGACCAACCTTGCAGAATCTGTTCCAAGGAATCTGAGCTTCAGGATCCATCGCCGCTTTAGGACCTGTGGGCCAAAGTTCACACGCTTGTGCATTTAGCTCATCTGTTCCAAGAGAATCCAATGCACTCAATGTCAAGTACGTGTATCGCACTCACCCAGGAGTTTAGTACCCAGCATGCTTAACTGTTCTTGATTAAGCCCCCTTTTGGTGATGGAGGAGAACTGCAAGCTCAGCACCTCCGCTAGATGCCCCCACGTGGCTGAAGGAGGAGTCACGAAGAAAGAAAGGTTCTGCAGAAGAGACGGTCAAAGAAAAGAGAAGTTCAAGGCAAGTCAGAACCTGTGGAAGCACCTCCAGGAATCTATTTTGTGATGCATGTAGATACCTATTACTGAAACTTTAGAGTTGAAGAGGACTTGCTTCTGAACGTCACTTTTATTTTTATATTTTCAGTTTTCTTTAGTTTTAGTTCCATTTGTAGTCATTTTGTTTAGGGGTTTTTGTCATCTTTATTAGGTTTTGTTCTTTTTTTAAATATTTCTAGTTTAGATTTCATTTATTTTGATTGCAGTTTTAGGTATTTATTTATTTACAGTTAGTCATTTTAGTGTTTCAACTTAAACTTATTTCAGTTATTTGCCAAGGCAACACTTCTAGTAATTTCATTTCAGTAAAATTTTTAGTAATTTATGTGCTTTTGTCATTTTTATTTATTTAGTTATTTTTAAATATTACTATTTAGGTTTAATTTATTTTTGTTTTAGTTCAGGTTTTTATCCCCAGTTATTAATTTTAGTGCTTTACTTTACTTTAAAATCGTGGTGTTTTTAAAACATTTCTATTTAGGTTTAAATTAAATTATTAATTCATTCATTCATTCAGTTTTAATTTTTGTTCAGTTTTACTTAATTTCCAGTTAGTAAATTTAGTGCTTAAACACATGTTAGTCATTTGCCAAGGCAACCTTTTTATGTTTCTTATCTCAAATTTATTTTTAATTCAATTTAAGTGCAATTTTCAGTCATTTTGTTATGTGCGTAACATGAGTGTTGAAGAGGCCGTACCTTTGGCTCAGAAGTCAGCATGTTGTACCACATGATGGAGGCCCATCCACTGGGTAGCTGACTGACGTTTGAGATCACGACTATGGGCAGAGACGTGGCCTGAAGATGGAGAGAGAGAAGAAAGTTGATGATGATCATGATTTAGAGCTGTTTATATGTTTTCAACTCGGTTGTTCTGAAGGATCTTCTGACCTCAAAGTTCATGACCATTCCAGACCAGCACAGCTCAGCCTCAAAGGTGATGGAGTGAAGTTCCTCTGTGACGATCAGAGGGCCCTGCCGAACGTTTAAGAAAGAATTTAGCCCAAAATGGCAGTTTGAGGTGTTGTTCTACCAAGTTTGAAGCTTGAATATGCAGACGTTCAAATGAGAAGAAGAGCTACAGCAGAGGAAACTGAATTTCTGCTCGTTTCTTACACAAATTCATTCGACTTCAGAAGACTAGGAAACCTGGACACAAGAGTTATGGACTAATTTCTTGAAACATTTAAGTGGTTTTTGGAGCTTTTTTGTGTTCCACATAAGAAAGATAGTCATGCAGATTTGGAGGCGACATGAGGGTGAGTAAATGATGACAGATTATTCCTTTTTTAACAATCTTAAAAAGTACACTACCAATCAAAAGTTTGGGCTCAGTAAAGTTTTTTTTTTTTTTTTGGAAATAGCCCAAAATGGCAGTTTGAGGTGTTGTTCTACCAAGTTTGAAGCTTGAATATGCAGACGTTCAAATGAGAAGAAGAGCTACAGCAGAGGAAACTGAATTTCTGCTCGTTTCTTACACAAATTCATTCGACTTCAGAAGACTAGGAAACCTGGACACAAGAGTTATGGACTAATTTCTTGAAACATTTAAGTGGTTTTTGGAGCTTTTTTGTGTTCCACATAAGAAAGATAGTCATGCAGATTTGGAGGCGACATGAGGGTGAGTAAATGATGACAGATTATTCCTTTTTTAACAATCTTAAAAAGTACACTACCAATCAAAAAAGTTTGGGCTCAGTAAAGTTTTTTTTTTTTTGGAAAGAAATACTTTTATTCAGCAAGGATGCGTTACATTGACCAAAAGTGACAGTAAAGACATTTATAATGTTATAAAAGATTTCGATTTCAAATAAATGCTGGAAAAAAAAAACGTATCATCGTTTCCACAAAAGCATTAAAACAGCACAACTGTTTCCAACATTGATAATAAATCAGCATATTAGAATGATTTCTGAAGGATCATGTGACACTGAAGACTGGAGTAATGATGCTGAAAATTCAGCTCTGCATAACAGGAATAAATTACATTTCAAAATATAGTAGAATAGAAAAGAGTTATTTTAAATTGTAATAATATTAGAGTTTTTACTGTATTTTTGATCAAATAAATGCAGCCTTGATATGAGCAGAAGAGACTTTGAAAAACATCTTGAACTCACCTCACTTGTTCTGTTTCCGGTAACTTTCTTCTCTTTCAGTTGCTGTGAAGTAAAAAGAATACTGTCACTATTATTTCCTTGACTAAATTATGCTTTTAAACTGGAGCTACACTGTAATTAGCTATTTTTTCTTTTCACTTTACCAGATGACGGAATTCTGCTGCCATCCCATTGGATTCCTCCATGTTCATCACCTTCATGGCCGTTCCCAAGATGTTGAACATGCGAAACCTAGAACAGGAGCATTACTAAGTAAGTGGAATTCTATTAATTAAAGTGGAATTCAAACGGAGTTTAAAGGGTTAATTCACCCAAAAATGAAAATTCTGTCATTAATTAACTTTTCTGGACCTTGAACGTGGTAGTTACCTTGCTGTCTATGGGAGGGTCAGAGAGCCCTCAGATTTCATCAAAAAAATCCTAAATTGTGTTCCGAAGATGAACGAAGGTCTTACGGGTTTGGAACAACACGAGGGTGAGTAATTAATTACAGAATTTTCATTTTTGGGTGAACTAACCCTTTAAGGACAGTTCAGCAAAAATAAAAACTCTTGTCATTATTTACTCGCACTCAAAACCTTGACAATTTTTTTTACAGATGTTATTGTTATTCACTTTTAAAATATCTCCTTTTATGATCCACAAAAAAACAAACAAACAAAGAAACAGGCTGAGTAAATGATAACAGATTTTAATTTTTAGAGTAACTGTCCCTTTAAAATGGTATGCAAATAAGGAAATTATGTAGGACACACCCTTTCCGTTTCTCAACGATATCCCTGAAAGGTGAAAAGAGACACGTTAACACAATGAAATGCATCTTCAGTGTTTTTTCTGAATGTATGCTAAGCTAAAAATGCTAACCACACGAGTGAATCATTAGCAATGCAAATATAAACTGCTTGCAGACAAAAAAAAATACCTCTATGAATTACGGTTGAGTCAGAGTATGTACAACACTTACTTGTCGAATTGCACCTTCACCCGAACAGTGTGGTTAAATTCCTGAAGTTTTATGAGCAGCCTGGAGCAGAGGAATAATGTGATTCATCATTCATCAACTGAACATTATCTGGCCTTTCATTCCAGAAAAATGCGAATCATCGGCTGTGTTACCGTAATTTGAGGGTGAACAGAATGCCCGTCTTGAGCACCAAAGGTCTTTGCAGTTGGGTCGGCATGCATGGCTGTCGCTCGACTACCAAGGAGCTGAAAACGCACACAAACAAAAATGATTCACTGTCAGCGACTTCTTTCAGCAGTGGTGTATCAAGCAAAGTAGGATTCTTACTTTGTGATGAGAGTTTTGAGGTTTAACATGATCCTGTCCTCCAGAGTGCTTCTGCTGAGGGTGATGGGATCCTTGTCGTATGTGAATTTCTGCTCCAGCTCCAGAAGTTTCTTGAGCTGCTGCCTGAGCTGAAGAAGAGATTCTCCTAGAGAAGTAAACCTGAGGGCAAAAACAAACAAAACTCAATAATATATGATTTAAACGTGATTTTGTAGAGCCTAAAAGCATGATTTTGCAAAAATATCAATATTTCTATACTGTCAAAATATTTATTATGGTGAATATTTTTGTGTAGTTTTGCAAGCAGAAAAGGTCTATAAAATTTTGTGAACAAAAAACGTCCACTGTCAATACTGTTGCAAAATTATCAGTAATTATATACTGCCAATGTATTTAATATTGCCAATATTTCCTCAAAATTTTGCAAGCAGAAAAGTTCCATAAAATTTTGTGAGCAAAAAAGTCAATAGTGTAGCGAAATTGTCACGATTTTCTTATTGTAAATATATTAATATTGTTGATATTTTGGTGAAATTTCACAAACAGGAAAGGTCTATAAATTATTGTGTGAAAAAAAGCAATCCATTGTCTATTGTCATTAGTGTAGTGAAGTCATCTATATTTATATACTGTCAATATATTTAATGTCGTCAATATTTCTGTGAAATTTCACGTGCAGAAAAGGTCTAAAATTTTTTCGCAAAAAAAAAAGTCCATTGTCTACTGTCACTAGCAAAATGATTCATATTTAAATAGTCAAAATATTTATTTTGCGAACAAAAAAGGCCCAATGTCAGCAGTGTAGCAAAATTATAACTATTGCCAATATTTCCAAAAACTTTGCTAGCAAAAAAGGTCTATAAAAATCAAACAAAGCAGCTTTCTGTTGGTCAGCGCGTATCCACATGACTAACTTGAACCCGTGTGAAATCTATAAAGTGAAATCTTTCGAAATTCCAGATTGTGTGGAATGTGTGGAATTCCTATTGAAATGACTAGATTTTGCTCGCAAAAAATATGCGAACCACTATTGGTATTCGCAATCATCAGTACAAAAAAATTAATAAAAATACAAATTTTGTGTCAAAATTCACAATTAAGACGTAATTATGGGCAATATCAATTTGTTTTAATATTATTTGAAGATCTTGAAACTATTAAAATTGTTTGTCACGACATCTTGTAAATATGATCATTCTGCTTTATTTTTGAGAGAATCTTGGGCTATTTTACAACAGCAAAAAAATTTTAATGTATTCCTAGTATTACTACTCCAAAAACGTATGGTTAGAAGGAAATCATTAATTAATTTGTGGTTTGTTACCAGTTCTGCAGCTGGTCCAAGCAGGCATTGGTTACTCCACCGATGCAAGCCATCTGTTGACGACGCCTCCATTCAGCCAGTTCTGTTGAGATTAGCTCAAAGATCACTGGATCCATAATGTTCAACACCTCTGACATCTGACTGATCACATTCTACATGGACACAAACAAGGTTGAACGTAACTGCTGCTCTTCGCTAACCAATTAGCATTACAGAACAGGAAAAGGCAATAGATCCCCAATGTTCCCACCATTCTTGTGTCGTTGAGTTTCATAAACATGGCATGGATAGTCAGTCTCTCCCGGTTCAAATCTTCCTTTGAAATGGTTCCGTTCAGTTCCTCTGTTGAATAGATGAAAGCAAGACTAAGTTTCGGTATTAGTCTAAA